GCGGAGTCAAGGAGGCCATTTACGTGAAAAGGGAAAGACCATCTCTGAATCGAGGAGGGGCCTAAGGTTACATCTTTCGCCATGAACAGAATAAACTTTTGGAGGTTTACTTACTTTAAACCTTACCTTGTTACTTTAATTTGCTTGTATGAAATTCTAATTATCATACATTAAAAAGCAATAAAAAATAGTAACATGTCTCAGTTTCAGAATTTAATTTCTTGTCTTGTTACGTTTTTAAATTAAATATAGGGTTTTTGTAAAAAACACATTTTCTTTTGATCATTTCTTACAAATACTTTATAGCAAGAATGACACTTCCAGTCAAAAGTTTTACAACACCCCAATTTTTTCAGTTATTTATTGCAGTTCAAGTCATTCAAGTCCAATGAATAGCTTGAAATAGAGGTAAAAACCTTTCTGGATTACTTACAACCCCCTCTGTCTGCATAAAAGCAGTGTTGGAACACACTGTGGCGCCATACTGCAGAAAGTAGTGTTTTGCCACAAAGCTGGTGAGAAAAGGGCAATTAACCATGGAAGAGAGACAGACCATCATAACACACAGAAATTGCAAATAAAGTCAAGGTGTCATTGAATACAGCTTTCTTCACCATCAAAATGCACTCAGAAACAATCTCAGACAGGAAGAGTTTGCCAGACCCAAAGCCACAACTGAATCAGAGGACAAGTTTCTGAGAGTTAACAGCTTGTGTGATAGGTGGCTCACAGGACAACAGCTTAAGCATACCTGAATAGTGATCATAGCAAGCAAGTCTCCGTTTCAATTGTGAAGAGAAGACTTCGAGCTGCAGGTTTGACAGAATGTGTTGCAGCAAGAAAGCCATCACTCAGAATAAGACCAAGAGGCTTGCCTGGGCCATGAAACACCGTCAAAACTGAAGACTGGGAGAATGTAATATGGACTGATGAATCAAAATCTTCAGTTCATCATGCAGGATCTTTGTACGCCATTGAGTAGGCAAAAGGACGGTTCCACAGTGTGTGGCATCAACTGTCAAACATAAAGTATGATAGACTAGGGCTGTTTTGCTGGATCCAGGGTCGGTGACCTGTACAGAGTGAGGGGCACCCTGAACCAAAACAGCTACCACAGCATTCTGCAGCACCCTCTGGTATGTGTCTAGTTGGTAAGGGGTTCGTCCTACAAGAGGATAATGTCCCAAAACATAAATCCAAGTATGCCAGAACTACTTCAGGAAAAAAGAAAACAATGGAGTGTCCAGCACAGTCTCCAGACTTAAACCACAGCTGGTTTGGGATGAACTGGACAGAAAGCAAGTGAAAGCAAAGCAACCTACGAGGTCCACATTTATGGGAACTTCTCAAAAAGATATGGGAAGAACTTTCTGAAGAATATTTGATTTCTATTGTAGAAAGAATATAGCTCTTATATCTGTCAAAGGTGGCTACTTTGATGAGTCAAAAGTTTTGAATACATTTTGGTCAATATATTGATTCCATGATTTCTTTTCTTTTCTTTTTTTTTTACTTTTAAATGCTTATTTGAACTATGCTTTCATTTCAGAGTGCAATGAGACATTAAACTGCATAATTTTCAATAAAAACTAGAAAAATTGGGGTGTTCTAAAACTTTTCACTGGTAGTGTATGTACAGTACAAATTTTTTCAGCAGGTGAGAAAAGAACACAAAACAGTCTGTTCAGCACTAGAGCAAGTATCAGCTTACTGGAAATACTTGGGAAAAGCTAGCCTTGCTCTGAACCAATGCTCAAAAATTAGTCTCATCAGCTTACTAATTAAACTGTGTTTTTTGATTTACTTGGCAAGTATGGACATGATATTTGTGTACTTAGTTAATATCATCCTCCCTAACCTAACAGCACTCCAGGAATATGAACAGAGACACAGCACCATGCTGATTGGCCAGAGTAGACTGTTAAAGATCTGAATTGGTGATGCTGACACGGCAACACTCACCCAATTTGCAGACCCGCAGGTGATGTATCATGCAATCTCAGATGCCTTCCATGCTAATGGATTTTCATTTGGTCTTACACTAAATGTGCTAGTTTAATCTGCATGTATGGGATGAAGAGAGATGTGAGATGGTTTTACCTTGGGGACAAACAGAACCACCAGGGTGATGTAGACTGAGAAGACAATGGCTAAAGAGGCGAAGGCGAAAGAGGCATCCTGCTGGGAGGACAGAATCATGGTGACTGGAGCTGTGATCATACACAGTACCTGAGGAGAAGAATAAATAGAGTAGATAAGCTTAGTTTGTTTATTACAAAAAAAAATCACAAGAAAACTTTAGTCTTAGCATAAATTAAAAAAGAAATTAAAAGTGTAACAACTTCAACAGAGTTACCTATCACACTAGTAAAAAAGGACCAGGTGGAATTCAGTCCAACTGTTTTCTACAGAACATTAATACAAAACCTCTGGTTTCAATTTAATGGTGATTTTGAAGACCAGTGATGGGATTAACAGTAGGGATGCAACCATACCAATTTTTTCAAACCGATACGATACCGATACTTGGATCTGAGTACTTGCCGATACAGAGTACAAAAACCGATACTTCTACCACACACACACACACACACACACACACACACACACACACACACACACACACACACACAAATGCAATGAATTGGAAGACAGGTTTTATTTTATTCTCTGCCGATAATAAATAATATCTTAATAAAAATGACCACAAAAAAATTTCAATTGAAAAATAAGCACTTCTCTTAAATTATTGCAGAGTCTCCACATTGTAATTTAACAAAATATCACTGAACTATTGGCACTGTCTCGAGCTTTCAGAATAATAAATAAACACTTCTGTTTGGAATAAAATAAACTTTTAAATTGTTGCAGAGTGTCCATATTGTAAACAAACAAACAAAATAACAAAAGTATTCGGCATTGACAAACTCCTCATCTGCCCGTGGATCATCAGTCCACTGTGCCGTTAAACCGAGGACTGACATCGCGCACACACTGCTTGTCTTTACCTCTTCAGACAGTTTTGTCACCATTATCTCCCTGATGTGTGGGCGGTTGGGAATTTCATAGCAGCTCGAGTATGCTGAGAAGATGGTGCAATCCTATGTTTTCCGACTGGCATTGGCTGGTCATCCAGAGAAATAAAATGAGTCAGAGCCTCTGTTATTTTAACTGCCCGTGGATTTCCTCTTGACATTTTTCATCGCTTTTCCAAAACCTGAGTTAAAGTTGGCTGTTCCACACTGCTGACATTTTGTTTAGCCTAGCTACAGCAGCCTCCAGTTTCTCTTTTTTATCTGGAGCCGCCAGTCTGACTCGCCTAACCCTGTGCCTGTTTAGCGCGGGATGTCCCACTAGTGGCCAATCTAAAAAACTACAACAGAAATGACAAGCCACCCTCTGATTAATGAAATAAGTTAGTATCGGTTCATGGTATCGGTTAACTTTTACGAGTATGAGTACACACACATTTTACAGCATCGGCCCTGATACCAGTATCGGTATCGGTGCATCCCTAATTAACAGCGTTAAAAGTAACGGCATTACTAACAGCTAACACTAAATAGCCAGACTCTCACTCAGTCACCCTCACCGAAGCCTCTCTTTTCCCGCCTTCATTCCTGAAAACTCCCCTTCTGTCAACCTTAACTCAGCTCTGGAATTAACCACCCTCTCCCTCAGTTGCCTTCACACCATTGACCGCCTTTGACAGTACAAACTGGCTGAAAAAATGGATCCAGCAGACGTAATTTGGACAGTGATCTCCAAACAGGGAGCAGTAATTGGTGAACACAAGCAAATCCTGCAGTTTCAGGCAAAATCAGGTGCAAATCAATCAGCGACAGACAGAAGGAAATCCTATCCACATTTCCAAAGCTCTGTTCAGACATCACTCCCACCCCAAATCAGCCACCAGTACACTCAGCACAGTCCCCGTTTGCTGCTCCTGAGAAAGACGCTCCACTTTTCTCTGCCCTGGTCTCTGCAAACCATGCCTGTGTTCCAGGATGCAGTGTCCTCAACACTCAAACCTTTTTCCGGTGAGTTGGGACGGTACAGGGCTTTCTCTTACAGTGCTCCCTTGTGTTCGGCCAATCGCCTCTTTCTTTGTCAATGCTGCTAAACTCTCCCACTTAGTAGGTCTGCTGAGGGGAAAGACGCTGGCATGGGCTGAAGCTTATTTTTCATTTCACCCAATTATTTCCCGTCCATATGTTGAGCTTCTTGGTGAGCTGACAAAGACTTTCACTCACCCAGTCTCTGAGGGCAGCGTGGCCAATTATTAAATTTATGGCTGGGCAAAACGTAGTGTAGCAAAGTTTGTCACTGATTTGTACAACTGGAAGCCAGTTGGCCCGATCATTGGCTTCAGGGTTTATTTTTGCAAGCCTTAAATGTTAGCCCTTCCATTCACAAACCCATACTTCAGGATGTCAGGGGTGTACTTTAGCAAAAAGTTTCCCTTTTGGGAGGGGTGGGGGTGGGGGTTGTCACTTTCATCTTAATTTTTCAGTTTTAAGAACTTCTTCATATATTTTGATTACTGCAAACGGCGGGCAGAGTGTCTTCTTCTGCTTGCTTATTGAGGCTGATTAATTAAACAACTCCCACCAAGTGGTGGGAAGCTGAATTATAACTGAGATTTTCATGGATAACAGTAGTGACTGCACCGTATCGGATCGCAATACCCTACAGCGGATAGTGGGAACAGCTGAGAAGATCATTGGAGACTCTCTTCCCTCCATCACAGACACCTATCGCACCTGCTGCTTCTGCAAAGCCACCAGCGTTGTGGAGGACCCAATGCACCCCTCACACACACTCTTCACCATGCTGCCTTCTGGCAAGAGGTACCGGAGCTCTCACAGCCAGTCTGATGGCTTGGGGGAACAGTTTCTTCCCCCAAGCCATCAGACTCGAGGGGGCTCAGTGACTGGACTGACACACACACACACACACACACACACACACAC